GATAGGACGCAATATTTTTTGTTGACTGCCTTTCTTTTTTGATTGATTTTAGTTGTTTTTTCTCTTTCTTTTTCGTTTTTATGTTTATAAGACTTGATTGTTTGGAATGACTACTCCTCTATTATAGACGATCAAGACGGCATTGGAATTTAAAGTAACGGCCAGCAAATTTAAATATTTAAAGGACTCCCTAACTCACAAACTGCGCGCTACAATCATCCATCGCAATTCTGCGATAGGATTCGAGTGCGGCGAGCGCGATGCCGTGTTCGGGGGGAAGATACCGGACCCGCGTTGAGCGCATAGCGCTGAACGTCGAGGCCGTGTTTGCGCTGCCCCTGACGGTCTTTGCGTTGGAGCATGTTATTTCTCAACCAGTACAGTTAAATGTATGACATAACCAATACAAGCTCAATCAAAAACTTGTTCTCTGCCGGTTCATACTGTATCGTTCGACGATCGGCGTTCTTAAGAGAACGCGCGCTGAACTGTCCGCTCAACGCTTTACTCTAAAAATGCCATGTCGAATCACCTGCCGGAGGCCATGGATTTTGGAGGCAACATGGTCTAGGCTAGATGACCCGGCACGTGGTTACATTGACTCCAGCCCTCATTTGGTCGCTGGAGTGCTAAAGAGTTCTTTCACTCTCACAAGCTAACAACCATCTATTACCACTAATGCATATGTTACATACATATGTTCCTAAGCTGGATTGAGCTAAGCATTCCCCACTCCCCCCACCGCTTACTCCAAAAATCTCGCACATCCGTGGGTCTAGACGAGTTCGTTCTACAATTGGCGAGGAGCTGTCGGAATACTTTAAACACGGGAGATAAAGGGAGGAAAGGAGGACTGTATCACCATAAGTTGCAGAAAATTGCAAAAGGGAGTCTAGTCTCCCCTATTCTGAGACTTCATCCTTTCCCAAGCACTTTTTTGAAGCCGCTTGGAATTAAGGTACGATTACGGTTACCTATCAGGTACATGCATACCGTGTGGTTGTAATGTGGCCAGAATTAAGTAAAAGGCTTATGACGAACTGTCTTATAACCTCGGTGATTCAAATATATTTAGACTTTCCTGTTAAGCAGCGCAAATATCTCTACTCGTTATGAAAGCACAAAAATTAGTAACGTTCTTAGAATACTAATATATTCAGAAGCCGGATGTATTAGGTTGATGCATAATTATTGCGGATTTTTTCGCAGCTTTTTTTCTCCCGATAGAATTTGAATATAATTTGGGTTTTTCCTAGAAATAATCTATTTGATTTCCTCTACAGAAATGTACCTAGAAAACCATCCGCATATTCGCACAATTATGCTCTACTTTTTCGAGGAATGTTTGGAGGTGGTAGAGTCATTCCGCGATCTCAGTAACTTTTCGCGAATGGAACAACAAGCCAAAGCCAACCAAGAAATGGGATCTCTCCTAAATCTGCCATATTCACCAGCAGAAACTGCTATCTATTATCTCGCCAACCGTTCACTGAAAAAATGGCTGGGATAGAATACTTACGTCGTTTTGAACGACTTGAAGGCCGATGTCAAGGCGTGGATCGCCCCCGAGGATCAAAACGTCTTCGCTTTTGGAATCCGACTATCTAGCCAGTGGGAAGGAGTGCTGGACGAAAATTGTGGATAAGTTCCGGAGTAATTACTTGAACATGTTTTTGTTCAGCATTTTTGTCGTTTCATTAAATAAAATTTGTAATAAAGAAAGTCAGTGGGATCGCGGAATGACTCTGCCACCTTCACACCTTTCTCGAAGCAGTAGAGCCTAATTTCGCGAATATGCGGATGGTTTTCTAGGTATCCTTTTGTAGAGGAAATCAATTAGATCATTTCTAGAAAAAACCCGAACTCAATATCCAAATTCTATCGTGAGAAAAAAAAAACCGCGAAAAAATCCGCAATAGTTATGCATCAACCTAATAGTAACAACATAGTACTCAAAGGTAGGCGAAAGCCACACTTGTGCGAAAAGCTACAATTCGATCGAGATTGAAGAATGTGTGAGGTACGTCGGGACAATTATGCTTAATAGGAACGGTGGAAGACATAGTTACCGCCGTCTGTAGTTGAAATTATTGAGATCTGCCATTCGACACTATCATTATGGACGCAGGTGCTCAATTACTTTGTGGGAATGAGTATGCATGCTGCTGGCGAACTTCCTGATGTGCTCAGACGAAGACGCATACATTCCTTCGATCTAGAATAGACCTCCAGAGCCAGCGTAAATGATTATCATTCAGATATGTTGTGCAGATTGAAAAATCAAATAGTTAGAACATTGCAAAAAGGGCGAGAAAGTCGCAGAAATCGGCGTATTTAGCGGAATGTAAGGCCTCAAAACAAGTAAAATTAGGGATCGGACGAGAATGTGAAAAGAGTCAGGAAAGTCTAACTTCCACCCAGCTGATTACTTCGTGGATAAAAAATCATCAAAATTGAAAAAAGATAAAGATTTAAGGATGAAACAACGTCGTTGTTGTCGTTCATAGCCCAGAAGTTGGAAGTACATTTCCGTGAGTAAGCATGAGCTTAACTTTTGGGACATCTGGTGAATGTGTAGGTTAGCTCAGAGTCAAACTGAAACTCCAGACAGGTCACGATTAACTCCCGCTTAGGAACATTTATCGAATCGGAGAATGGCGTTGTTTTTGTAAGTTTGAAGCTTGGAAGCAATCAATCAAACATCGCACGGAAACCTTGTATCTCATATTTTTCATTCCTAATATAAACCTTGGTCTACACTAAGATGGTGCTACCATTCCCACGTAGGAAGGCATTATAAGTTGACTATTGTGGATTGACAAGGAGTACAAATGGCTGTTGAAGGTGCTCATCAGTTCGACAGCTTCTCTCGCTGTTCGATAGCCTGTTCTGTAGACCTTCCTACTTTCATAGTGGATCTCATACCTCCGCTTCTGAAGGACAAGCGTTTGCTTCGAAAGCATCGAATATACGTATGACGAAGCTCCCCTCGACTTCCCACGTTCGCTTTGCGGTATGCAGCAAATCTTTTTTAAATTGTCCCGCGGCTTTAAAATGCAATTACCGTACTCAGCTCCCCCCCCTCCCCCCCGGGTGTGTGTCAAGTCGTGCGTCCGAGGGGACGCGCGGCAAATTGCGCGGCGAAGTTCGTGGCGAATTTGGACGACTTCGGCGCCTATCATTGGGGCCCAAATGTGAAGTAGGGTAGATCAGTAAGGTCAGCTGATCCTACTATTCTACTGTACTTCAAAATTGGGCACAAATAATAGGCGCTAAAGTCGTCAGAATAGGTATGAATTTCGCCGCTCCATTTGCCGCGCGCACCCTCGGACGCACGACTTGACCGTCCCCCCTCCCCCCATTTCGCCAATCAATAATCGATTGGACGCAATATTCTTTGTTGATTGCATCTCTTTGTCGATTAGTCCTGATTGTTTTCTTCTGTTCCTAGACTTGATTGTTTGGAATATCTTCCCCTATATTAGCTATGATCAAGATCGCATTGGAATTGAAGGGAGCAGCCTACTTTTTCGAATAATTAAAGGACTCCCTAACACTCAAATTGCGCGCTCCAATCTTCAATCGCATTTCTGCGATACGCGGCGGGTGCGGCGAGCGCGACGCAGTGTTCGGGGAGAAGATACCGGACCAGGGTGGGGGCATTGACCAAAGGTTCACTCGCGGAGAGGCATGTTCGGGTTGCAGTAAGCGGCGTAATTGTGAGGGAAGGGCTTTATTCAAGTTCCATAGGTTGGCAAACTTCATCGTTGAACAATGCCGAATGGGACGCTGACGCTCCCAAAATCCGGGGATCGACTTACAAATCGAACATTTCCCAAATCTCTTCGCTCCCCTATCCTACCTGAATAGATGTCATGAGAACAACCCAACCTATAATGGGAGTGGGCGAAATTCAGTAAAGGTCATAGTGTTACGTTAGATAGGTTGGTGAGAAGGAGGAAAACAGCGATCTGTATCACTTTTCCATAAAATATGAGAAGAAAATGCTTCCTAAAAATAGTATGACTGAAAATGTCGACGAATGGGTTCCCACCTTGTGCTCTGCGCCTACAAGCTGTAGCCGATAATGATTTGACGGTTCAATCGATTCACTACGGTGCAAACTAGGAATTTAAGCTGAGTGAAAGGCCATTTCTGGATAAGCTTGAAGGTAGTGGGAGCTTCAAGATGGGGAAAACACTTACCACATGCAAATTGCTGGTAGAAATGGTCTTGACTAGTGGGATTATACCTAGCCGAGAAAGATGACCTCTTGTTGATGAAAGACCCACTCCTACTTCATGTTCACCCTGAAATAAATTGCTCCCCACCCGGCTGGTACCCAAGAGGGCGTGAGTCATTAGATTATCCCGAAGCAGCTTTCGAATGTTCTGTCGATGTTGATGAATTCTTCGACACTCCCAGTCGATCGATTTTCTTCGGGAGACGCCTACGATCGAGGAGGGAATCCAACAAATTTCTGACTCATGCGACCTTTGTGATGGTTCTGTTGCCATACAGCATTGCTTTAAGCCTGCTGAACCTTCCTAAACGAAATTCCTCTTAGCATTTCGTTCTATACTATTATTCATTCTTCTACCCATTCGGAAAATGATTGCTTTCCTGTGGCTTTCAGACGAGTGGTTGTTTTCGAAAAAGGTTGTTTTCGTTTGTTTGTGAGATTTGTGACTGACCTATTTGTGGGACATTTCTAGATTCAGAGATTGAAGTGGTGAGATTCTAGATTCCCAGGGATTCTAGATGTGTGGGACGTGAGATGAAGTCCTATCAGTATAGTGGCTTAGTGCCGAGTGCCTTCAGTGTCTTTCACTCCTGAGTTTTGAAATGAAATGTGACCACGGCCTATTGATTTTATTGATTTTCTTGACGGGTTATTTTAGTAAATGTCGATTGGTCCACTAAACATCTCCGTTCAGATATTGCATCAACAAAGGAGCACATCGTTGTGAAACCATCAGATACAGCACGAAACCGTGGAAATGTCAGGCCATTTGAGTTCGATCCTTTCGAAGAACAAACATAATGGGAATGTGGAAGATATTCTCGAGTTCAAGGTAAAAATATATTTGACTGTGGTGTTTGTTCTGGGGCCTCGCTCCCAGATGTAAAAACTACTGGTTCACTCACTTAAAAACAGAAATATTCATTGATTATATTCTTTATTAAAGGAACTTCCACAGGCTCAATTAAACTGGGTGTGTACGACCGAAATAATAAACCTACTTCCCTGACTTGAACACCGTGGCCATTTGATGACCGTTCCGTTCCCAAAGAAGAGCAGCTGTCTCACCGCCAGTCTCATCTTGTTCCTTGACGTAGACAGATCCGTCCTAGAACATACAAGGATGGCTGATGGTCAGTGCAACTCGGCGATTCCTTTGGCCACAAGTCGGTCGGTTGTACTGGTAGCCCAATTCTCACGAAACGCAAACACCGTTCAACGTCCCGCCGACCAGGTGGCCAAGATCGAGAGGGTGGCATCATGTCCGTGGAGTTCAGGACAGTATAGCCTTAGGCTCGGCATGTAACTAAATGGCATGCCTTGTCTCCCAGTAATCCTAAGGGGTATTCTCCTTTTGCAGAGGATTACTTTGGATGAGATGGCAGGAAGAAACGGCTCTTTACCGGCTGGTCCTCGAGGCCATATCCTATCCCTCCCTTGATAGCTAACAGTTGGCCGCTATCCTATCATCTGATTTCTAAAAAGCTGCCATCTTTCCTTTATGGTCGTCCACATGGGTATTAATTGTAGAGACATCAGGTCCCTTATCATTCTCGTGATCTCAACCCCATTTAAACAATGGCAATGAGTGTCCCAGTCGCTCAGGCCTTTCTTTATTGAAATTTGTTTCCTCAATCCTTGGGGAACATTCACGTTTTCAGAGTCAAACTCATAATCGCTCCCTTGCCCCCAAACTCGCTGCATTACGTGACGATGGTCGCTTATGTGATGTGACTTTGATAGCCAAGGTAGGCCACAACATAAATAAGTGATTTAGATAACATGAATGAGGGATTCCCCAGGGACTCCGTATAAACGCCCATCGAGTCATACTCGCTGCGAACTCGGATTACTTCAGAGCCATGTTCACAAGTGAAATGATCGAATCTCGGCAGCGTACGTTTATAATTTGCGATATGTGCTTCTGCAGTCTCATCATGCTCTACTTACAGATTTAAGCCTTGTACTAAGTAGGTTATCGATTGTTCTTCAGAAGAAATAGAAATGGTCGATATCGAAGGGGCAGCGCTTGATGCTCTGATTAGTTTCTGCTATTGTGGTAAGGTACGGATCAGCGACGTCAACATTCCTAGCACTCTCCACGCTGCTTGTCTGCTCCAGTTAGACGAAATCAAGGTTTTCTATGTTCAAGATCTCGATAGTTAGCGACAATTTGTACTACCCAATGAACGTCAGGATGCCTGTTGTGAGTTCCTGAAGAAGCGCTTGTGCCCGTCAAATTGCTTGGGAGTTCGAGACTTTGCCGATAATCACTCATGTCGAAAACTTGTTCGTTGTGTTGATGACTACATCTTGGAAAATTTTCAGGTAGCCAGTTTCTCTTTTTGAGCTCGTCGTTCACAAAAACTTTGCCTTCTTTCTTTCAGGACATTATTGGCACTGAAGAGTTTCACCACCTTCCAATAAATCAATTGACCCAGCTACTATCGAACGATGAGCTCGTTGTACCTTCTGAAGAAAAGGTCAGCACGGAAATTTTGGCATACTTACGTCTTCAAGTGTGTTGTCGACAAGCAGGACTCCAGGTTTTCACTGCAGTACTTCAATGGGTTGAATTCGACTTGTCATCTCGGAAGCAATTGCTCCCGAAGGTAAAAGTAGGAAGATTCTTCGTTTACTGACTTCTATTTATCGTTTGCAGCTGTTGGAGTGCGTACGATTTCCTCTTTGTCGGCCGGAGTTTCTTATCAACGCAGTAAGTAAGAATGCGCTCGTGATGGCTGACGCCACCTGCCGCAATCTGGTCGACCGAGCTAAGGTTTTTTTGGAAGCATTTTCCAGTAGCCAACACTTAGCAGATCTACCTTTACATTTGTTAGGAGCTCTTGTTTCCCTGCGTCTTCATTTGTTTGAAATTTAAGGATGACGTGATTCTTCAATTGTCTGCACTTGAACATCCGAAGGTGCAAGGCAGAAGGACTCGAGCGTTTGGTGCAGTAGATGAAGTGATTTACGTCGGTCTGGTGAAGTTTAACAATGATCATTTCTCAGAAAATTAATCCATACACACAAGCCCCAACAGGAGAAGTTCCCCAGTTTTATAATTGTCCAATTTTGCCCCTTTAGAGAGGAATAGGTTAGTAGAGATCATTATTGGGGGCAAGGGTGACGTGGTCAAAAGGCTCAGCTGTGTAATTGGGGTTTTTTTTTGCATGACCGTATCTCTTGGTTTTTCCTGACTACCCACCTGTGTTGAATGGTACCATTTGATTGTTTTATATCGTACCGACATTTTCAAATGTCCAACTTCAGTGGGTGGATCAAACGAGGTGAGTGTGGAGCGGCTGGATCCTGGAGGTGCTAGTCCTGAATGGCAGTACGTTGCTCCTCTGAACCAGGAAAGGTACAGTGCTCCATTGATACAGTTGCAGTGCTTACAGTTTCGAAGACTGCTTAATTTCTCAGGTCTTTATCTGGCGTTGCTGTTGTCGACAGGTTCATTTACGCTGTGGGTGGCTTCGGAAAAGAAAAATGTTTGAACAGCATTGAGAGGTAATGAGAGACTTTTGAGGCACAAGTCAACTCAATTTGGAGTAATCCAGATTATGACGAAGAATGGAAGATAAGGTGGAAAATAGTGCGATGAAAGGGAAGAAAAAGAGCGAATCAGCGTTTACAAGTGACGAGAGGTTTCGGAAAAATCGTTGAAAAGGGGGCTGGACGAGAATGAGAACAGAAAATTTACGTAGAAGGGGTGTTTGGACGACCTTTACAATGTGTCATTACATCCATGGTGGTCCTGATGCGAATAGCTGACTACAGCAAGCAAAGGGTCCTTTAACATCCGTTCCTTCAAAAGCATAAGTCTACAAAAGCATTATTAACAGCAGAAATAGCCCACCTTCTTCATCCTCATAGTTAGTAGACTAGATAAAGGATCGCATCAGCGAAAAGAATGACAGAGAACAATAGAATAGGAGAGAACATCGTCTCATCACATGGCGATCAGCTGATTGCGTGCTGAACGTGTGGGTTCTGGCGCGAATATTGCAATCTGTACCATCTCGACGCTCGTCTGACATATCATCGGTCGATGAGCGTGGCATCAGGCTGGTCTAGTAATGGGGCTCTTGAGTTCTTGGGCCCAACAGCATCCTTTCTGTTACCCCTGAGGGCCTCTGGGTAATCCTGAG